ACAAAGTTGGCCAAGCAATACCATACAATGATGTCATCAGTGACTTTGCCTCCAGAAAAGCTAGGAAGGAACGATTTTGAGGGCATTGTTGTACAATTCATTGTTGAACCCTTGCTGTTTTTATGTTTGCTTTCCTTATTTAAGTATCTGTTTTTGTAACATTCTATTTTTGATATTAATGTTTGTCTATATTGGTTTTATTTAAAATATTGCACAGTTAATGCACATTTGCAAATAAGTTATTTAATGTTTGTATTCAAAAGGTTTAATAAAACAAAGTATTGTAAGTATTGTTTATTTATTTTGTATTAATACATTACCATAGTCTATTCATTTTTAATATTCACTATAACATTATAGTGTGACATTTGTGTCAGTAATCTTCTAGTATAGGTGATTCTGCATGGTAGGAGGGGGGGCCCCCAAATCAAATTCTGCTTAGGGCCCCCAAGAGGCTCGGCCCGGCTCTGATCGGCCAATACCGATACCGTAATAATGTAAAATATTTGCCATCATGGCTTTGTCAAGCTGCTGCCTACCTTTGTGAAGCAGGGAAAAATCTATTACAAAGTGAATCCAGTAATAGTTTTTAATAAAAAGTTCTACTGGATAATAAAAATAAAAAGTTTTTATTGCCTACCAGGAGTGGGTGGCAATAGTTGAATAAACTATTTGTTGGTACTCGCCGATACCGATACCACCATTTTAGGGCAGTATCGGGGCCCCGTCCGATACTGGTGTCAGTATCGGTGCAACACTAGAAGAAAGCACTTCATTGATCCTAAGTCATGCTAGCGCTACAGATGCTTCCGACTCAGCAAACGGATGCTGCGTGATGTTATTATGGTTGTCTTGGCAACCACAGTGTTTTACATCATGTGGCAACGTTCAGCCAATCGTGCAGCGTAACGTCACTGACATGAAGCAGGACCACAGCAGGTCTGGTACACCGGGCCAGAGGCTGCTGTTGAAGGGGAATTCCAGTGACAGAGCACCGCCTGTGTACAGGGGTCTGAGCGGCTCCCACAGAGAAATAATCTTTGAAGGCAGGATGGTAATCTGGATGAACTGACTGAACAGACGATGTCTTCAGGTGGACTTTCTCACTTAAGAATAGATTCAAACTACTTTTTACCCGCTGATCACAGCTAATATAGCAAAGCTGCTCTCTGGCATTGAACACAGGAGCAGCAGAAGCATCAGACGCATTTGGACACACTTTACTGGACGTCTGACCTTAATGTGGACAAGAATGAAAAATGAAGCAGCAGAGCTTTTTTTCTGCTTCTATCACATGCAGTCTGAATGTCGCATAAGACTGAAGAGGAGAAGGGTTAGGGTTATCCATGGTCTGTTAACACGGCATTTTCAACTCTTTTTATTTTCCTTATTTTGATCTTGTTGGGATCCAGAGGCTTGCCCACCAGAGGGCGCCGAGGATCCCTTCCTGAGGGCTTGTGCTCACCTGCAACATCTGTCTTCGATCTGCTCATCAAGAGGACTCCTACTTCACGAGGAGGAGACTGACACTCCGGCGCCAGAGTGTTTGCCAGTAACGGTTAGCAGAATCTGAACCAGCCTGCCTGATCTAAGACCCTGTCTTTTGTGAAACCTGTCTGACCCAGTTTTCTCCCTGTCTCTCAGATCCTGACTCGCCTGAAAACCAGAAGAACTCTGGAGAGAGAAACCACGGCTTGGATTCTGCCTGCCAGCACTCAGTCTCAGTCTCAGCCCTCAGCCTGCCGAAAAGCCTCTGGACTCTCAAGGTTCCCCCTCTGCAGATCTGAATCCCTTCTCTCAGCCAGAAACCTGCCTGCCTGCATTCTGTCTCCGTCTCAGCCCAGCCCTCAGCCCACTGCCTGCCGATAAGCCTCTGGACTCACAGGGTTCCCACCCCCCTGCAGATCAGAATCCCCTTCTGTACAGTCAAGTTCCTCCTGTGACCAGGCCGCTGAACCCAGAACCCTTGAATTTTCACCATTGTACATATTTAAATAAATCACCAACTTTCCCCCGGTATTCAGTGAGTGCTTCTGCATTTTGGGTTAGACACCTAAACCCCATCATGACAGATCTACAACTTCCCTTTCCACCAACAAAGTGTTGAATTTATTCTGTTTGATTGTGGTTAGATAATATTTTCTTCTTAAATCATGGTTTCTTTGAGTTAGCAATACCAGCTAACCTTTTTATATTGAAATAATTTATTTGTTATTTTTACAACTATAGCAAGTGTTTTGTTGTGGAGATGTATTCACTATCTGCACACAGTCTCCTATTGATGTATGAATGTATGTAAGAAGCTTCCATCTTGAGGCAGGCTGACATTCAGCAACTATATCTGGCTTAATCCAGCAGGTCAAACCACTATAAATGTCTCCAGAGCGTGATGGCACAGTATGCTTGTTTAAATCAGGCTAATCTTAAGGATTATCTGAACAAATCCTGCGCTGGGCAAGGTAAGTGTATTTAAATGACACCAGTCATGAAACAGGAAATCTGTGATGTTTCACTGGACAAAGGACAGAAAAACGAATGGTTCATATAAAGCTGTGGGGGCACAGTATATACTGTATATATCCCATGCCCTAACCCTAACCCTTTTACTTCCTTTGGCACCTTCTTCTTCTTGTTGACTATTTAAGCTGATGAACGAGTAAATTTCTCCTCTGTGAGATCAATAAAGTCAATCAATCAATTTACCTGCTCTCTTCTGTAGCTTCAAGCTAGGGAGCAGCGTGGCTTTATTTACTTTGTAAATTGGAAAAATAGTTTTAATACGATCCAGCATACCGCCAGTGTTCTTTCAGATGAGCATTGTCAATTAGACCAGCATAGCCATAGTCAATCCCCGTTTATCCCTTTACTTTTGTATGAAAAAGAATTTAAACTGCCTCAAAGGGCGTGTATCCCTTTATTCATGTACAAAAAAACTATTGAATTCTTACTTTTTGGTGTTTTTTCAACTTTAAAATAAATTTTTCTTACAAAACTAAAGGGATAAATGCAAATCTGATGTCTTGCGCATGCGTTTTAACTATGGGTATGCTGGTCTGATGGGTTATGCTCATCTGATAGAACACCAGGATTTTCTGTAGCAGCTGGAAGTGAATAGAAAGAGTTTTTAAGTTTTGTGGTAAAAACTTTAAGAACCAGAATATTTTTCATAAGCAGCTTTTAACATTTCTAGTTAATTTGGGTATTTATAAACTGTTTCTCTATAGTTCATAAAAAATGTCTAGTGCACCGATGCTGATCAGAGCTCAGTCTCTGTTCCATTCTACTAGCTTTTTTTAAACCTTGGAGTTTAACTCCTTGTTTTTTACTTATTTTTCATCTGCAGAATCTCTGCAGAAGTGATGACAGCTTCCATGCAGCGTCTGTCTCCCCCAAAAATCTCCTGGATCAGCTTTTCTGATTGTTTGATGCTTCAGCGTCCAGCTGCAAAATTCAAATTTCTTAAGCCCCGATGCTAGAACGCTCCTGCTGGGCGGAAGCGCCGCTGGACCTCTTTATGCCGTCCACCATATACTTTGCATGTGTATCAGAGGTGTTGATGCCCAGAATGCGCCCGGTATGAATGCAGCAGATATACACTCACCGGCCACTTTATTAGGTACCCCATGCTAGTAACGGGTTGGACCCCCTTTTGCCTTCAGAACTCCCTCAATTCTTGGTGGCATAGATTCAACAAGGTGCTGGAAGCATTCCTCAGGGAGTTTGGTCCATATTGACATGATGGCATCACACAGTTGCCGCAGATTTGTCGGCTGCACATCCATGATGCGAATCTCCCGTTCCACCACATCCCAAAGATGCTCTATTGGATTGAGATCTGGTGACTGTGGAGGCCATTTGAGTACAGTGAACTCATTGTCATGTTCAAGAAACCAGTCTGAGATGATTCCAGCTTTATGACATGGCGCATTATCCTGCTGAAAGTAGCCATCAGAAGTTGGGTACATTGTGGTCATAAAGGGATGGACATGGTCAGCAACAATACTCAGGTAGGCTGTGGCGTTGCAACGATGCTCAATTGGTACCAAGGGGCCCAAAGAGTGCCAAGAAAATATTCCCCACACCATGACACCACCACCACCAGCATGAACCGTTGATACAAGGCAGGATGGATCCATGCTTTCATGTTGTAGACGCCAAATTCTGACCCTACCATCCGAAATCGAGACTCATCAGACCAGGCAACATTTTTCCAATCTTCTATTGTCCAATTTCCATGAGCTTGTGCAAATTGTAGCCTCAGTTTCCTGTTCTTAGCTGAAAGGAGTGGCACCCGGTGTGGTCTTCTGCTGCTGTAGCCCATCTGCCTCAAAGTTCCACGTACTGTGCGTTCAGAGATGCTCTTCTGCCCACCTTGGTTGTAACGGTGGTTATTTGAGTCACTGTTGCCCTTCTATCAGCTCCAACCAGTCTGGCCATTCTCCTCTGACCTCTGGCATCAACAAGGCATTTCCGCCCACAGAACTGCCGCTCACTGGATGTTTTTTCTTTTTCGGACCATTCTCTGTAAACCCTAGAGATGGTTGTGCGTGAAAATCCCAGTAGATCAGCAGTTTCTGAAATACTCAGACCAGCCCTTCTGGCACCAACAATCATGCCACGTTCAAAGTCACTCAAATCATCTTTCTTCCACATACTGATGCTCGCTTTGAACTGCAGGAGATTGTCTTGACCATGTCTACACGCCTAAATGCACTGAGTTGCCGCCATGTGATTGGCTGCTTAGAAATTAAGTGTTAACGAGCAGTTGGAGAAGTGTACCTAATAAAGTGGCCGGTGAGTGTATTTATCCATGCCAACAGTTCAAACTGGACATTTGAATGTTGCCCATATCAGTCCCAAAAAGAGAGCAACATAACAGTGGCTAAGCCTTAACATGGGCTACTTACCATTTACTCAAGTCACATTCTTTCATTTTTGATTCTTACAATTCAAGGCAGCAACTTCAGTGAAAGCTGAACATTGTGATATTTCCTCCTTACCTGATTCAGAGATGTCGTCCCAGAAAGGTGAATGGAAGGCATAGTCAGCCCTCATGATCTTTGAAAACAGCTGAGTCTCGTTCTCCTCAAAGAAAGGAGGGTAGCCGGAGAGCCTGCAGAGAACAGAATAAAAGAAACTGTCATTTATCTAGGATTACAAAATTCAAAGATCTACATAGAAGTGGCTTCCTTGGCAATTTGGCAGCTCTTGTGCTGTTGGACCATTGTGGAGACTTACAACAAAATGTATAATATTAAATGTTTTATATACACATGAAATTTTGTTTTGTACAGCTGTCAAGATCTTCCCATTTCTTAAAGTGCAGCAGTGATCAGATGTAAATGTTGTGGGAGAAAAAACATTGTGCAAAAAAACGCATTGATGACGGAGAGTCTATGATATGATTTAGAGCTTTTTCAGCAGTTCATCAGTGTGATGGCGGTGGGGAAGAAGCTGCTGCAGAACCTGCTGGTCCTGCATTGAATGCTGGGAAGCCTCTTCCCAGAGGGCAGCAGGGAGAAAAGTCCATGGTGGGGGGTGAGGGGTCATTGATGATGTCACTGACGTTTTATGAAGGAAATCTGGTCTCGGTGTGTTCTGAGGCCGGGCATACATTGTATGAGGATTTGGCCTTTTTGGGGCCGATTCTCCAATTGTGCAGGAAGTATTTGGATCGGGGCGACTTTCAGCCTCATGGTGCGTCCTGCATCGTGTAGTGTACAGAGGGTAATGAGGGGCGATCAGCCTCTCACGACCACCTCCTGTTCAGGAATGGTAAGGTCGGGAGAAAATCAAATATGTTTCAAATTCATTGGGTCTCGCCAGGTGTTGTTGGGTAAAGTTGTTGGGTTGTTGAATCAGAGCTACACACCGATTTACCAGAACATCTCTTACTGCGCATGTGCAAAAAAGGCGAGTTCCTCCTATTCTTCCAGATCGACGAGTCCAACCAGCGCCACTGAGTCCAAAGTGGTTTTGGACGTGCAGCGGGGAAAGACTAACTGGATGTGCTCTCTTCATCCTCTGACATGGGAGCTGGCTCGGAGCTCGGAGCTCGTCTGCCTGGCAGTGTGTTTCCTGGACGGGGCCGCCTGTGGAGCTGGTTGACAGTTGCCTTTTGTATCTATGCTTCTTTTTCTATGTCTGCTTCTGTCTCCTTGAACCCCAGTGGGCCTCAGCAGATGGCCGCTCACACTGAGCCTGGTTCTGCTGGAGGTTTCTTCCTGTTCAAAGGGAGTTTTTCCTCTCCACTGTCGCTACAAGCATGCTTAGTGTGAGGGATTGCTGAAGAGTCAATGAGTCGATGCAATCAGCTGGTTTTCCTTAGATAGAAAACTTTGAATCAATCTGACTGGATGATCTGGTGAACTGGAAAGTGACCTGAGATGACATGATGGGAATTGGAGCTATAGAAATAAACTGAATAGAATTGAATTGAAAGACTGGAAATATCGTACAGTGTTTTTGCTTTCTCTAAAATGTAAAAAAAAAAAACTTCTTATCACTGAAAAAAAAGAACTGAAAACATTTCCTAGTGAAATATGCGGTAAAGTTACTAAAGGGAAACACGCTTACAGGATGTATGTGATGACTCCAATGGACCAGCAGTCCACTGCTTTGCTGTAGGGTTTCTGAGCCAAAACCTCAGGAGCTGGAAGGTAAAACATGACAACACATGAGCGACGTTCAGGAAAACAACCACCTTCCTGTGAAAAACGATTGGATCGTGGAGGTCAGCGGGAGCCATGTCAGACTAAAGGAAACTGCCAGGGTGGAAAGAGATTATGGGAAAATGTCAGACATATACTAGGAAACAGCAAAGCTGTTCAGATGTCAAGCTCTGAATATTGACAGCTTAACTGCTAAAGCTGCTGACCAGGAGCTAATGCAGCAAAAATTGGTTAATTAGACAACTTGATTAACGCCCAAATGACATCTACATTTGATTGAAAAGTGAAAGATGAAAAGCTGCAATTTTCAAGTCGTTGAAAAGACGGAAACCCAGTTTTTAACATCTATTATTGGACTAAAATGGGACAAAATCAAACCGACGAATTAGCCTCATTTTTAACAACTATTTCTGGACTAAATCAAGATGAGACTGGATGAATGTAGCCTAAAAAGGATCACGTCTGGTGTTCGGGGGGAAAATCTCTGTATATATCATATCTTAGAAATGTATGAAATTTGTCTTTCTCAAAAATAAGAATTTCCTTATTTGGATTATTTTTAGTTCAAATCTCTTGAGGCATATTAGCCCAGATTTCTGTGTTTTTTACGGTTATACAGACTAAAATATACAAAATAAGGATGGGAAAAAAAAAAACGAAATTGGCTAGGCCTGCATGGTGATGCAGTGGGTAGCACTGCTGCCTTGCAGCAAGAAGGTTCCGGATTCAATCCCCGGCCTGGGGTTTTTCTGCATGGAGTTTGCATGTTCTCCCTGAGCATGCATAGGTTCTCTCTGGGGACTCCGGCTTCCTCCCACAGTCACAAACCATTATTGTTATATTAACTGGTTTCTCTAAATTTTCCTTAAGCATGAGTGTTTGCATGGATGTGTTTCTTTGTATGTTTCCAGTTACAGACTGGCAACGTGTCCAGGGTGAACCCCGCCTCTCACCCACAGACTGCCGGAGATAGGCCCCAGTCCCAATGGAGCATGGCAAGGACGGACGGATGGATGGATGGATGGATGGATGGATGGACGGACGGTCGGACGGACGGACGGACGGATGGATGGACGGATGGATGGATGGATAATGGATGGATGGATGGATGGATTGGATGGATGGATGGACAGACGGACGGATGGATAATTGGCTAATAACTTGAATGAAGGCAGTATATACACAAGCTTTACTAAGTAGGGAAACTTTTCAGTAGACTCACCAACATATCCTGGTGTACCGCAAGCTGTAGACATCACTCCATGTTCAAGAGCCTTGGACAGACCAAAGTCACTGACCATGATCTTAGAGTTTTCATCCATGTTATCGTACAGCAGGTTCTCAGGCTGCAGGAAGAGGAAGAGACAAGATCTCTTTAGTGCAACTAAAGACATTTCTTAGACTTTTAGACGTAGATTCATTTGTCATTTTGTTTACACAAGTGTAAAACAAAAAGAAATTTCGTTTAGAACAGCTCTATGGACAATTTCATTTTTTTTAAGTGCAGCCTTGAAAAATACACAAAAAATGTGTAAAAACAGTAACATAAACAAATGACTGTAAATTTACAATTCTAACATTTTCTTTTTTTATATACATATATATAAAATGATCAAATATAATAAATATAATAAAATACACTATAACCCATTTTACAGAACATTCATCAGTGTGATGGCGGTGGGGAAGAAGCTGCTGCAGAACCTGCTGGTCCTGCATTGAATGCTGGGAAGCCGTTCAGGGTGAATGGCAGGGGGCTCAGGACGCAGCCTTGAGGGGAGGAGCTTAGACTGATGACATCAGAGGTGTTCTGTCCGACCCGGACTGACTGAGGTCTGTTGGTGAGGAAGTCTAGCAGCCAATAGCAGAGGGTTGTATTGAAGCCCAGCTGTTCCAGTTTGCCCATCAGATGCTGTGGGATGATGGTGTTGAAAGCTGAACTGAAGTCCAGGAACAGCATCCATCGTGGGTGTTCTTCTCCTCCAGGTGTGCCAGGCTCAGGTGGAGAGCAGCAGAGATGGCGTCCTCAGTGGAGCGGTTCCGTCGGTAGGCGAACTGGAACGGGTGGAATGTTGGCGGCAGACTGGAGACGATGTGTTCTTTAACCAGCCTTTGGAAGCACTTCATCATGATGGGAGTCAGAGCGACAGGCCGCTAATCATTGAGGGAGGCGACCTGAGGCTTCTTTGGGACTGGAATAATGGAGGCAGACTGGAAGCATGCTGGCACCATGGATTGGTCCAGCCAGCTGATCTGACCACTCCTTATACACCTGCCCAGGTATGTTATCAGGCCCTGGGGCCTTCCTTGGGTTGACTCTCCTCAGAGTTTTTCCCACTTCAGCTACGTCCATATTTAGTGCCTCCTCCCCCTGGTGTGGAACAGCTTGTCAGTCGGAGCTATGCTGCCCCCTGCAGGAAATCATGTCGGGTGTGATAATTTCTACTGACTATATGAGCGCGATTTCTGTCGGCTCGGTTGCAAAATCTGATTCGGTGTGTTCTAATCTTTAGAAATACTAATTTGGAGACTAATCAAAATAATATTAACCCTGAATTGATCTAGATAGATTAAAAAATGACAAGTCTATGTCCAACCCTCTGTCATACGTGTCATTATGAAAAGAAATGTTACTTAAAGAGAAAAGACTTTAATCTTTGTTTTTAAAATTCAGATTCAACAATTTGTCATTAAAAAAACGAATCATCCAGCCAAGTAGGTAACCTCCTCAGGATGTAAAGAAAAAAACAAAAAAACAAGCAAATTTCCATTTTCATTTTGTAAAGATTGTTTTTGTGTGCGTTTACCTTTAAATCTCTGTGCACGATGCCGTTTTCATGAAGATAGCCGACAGCCTCCAGCACCTGTTTGATAACTTTGCTTGCATCTTTTTCGGTGTAAACCCCCTTGTCTAAAATGCGATCAAACAGTTCACCGCCAGACACTCTGTTCATTCAAACACAGACGGAGATTTGGAAAAACAGATCAGCTTTTCACCTTTTGCATATATATTCTGTCATTTTATTACTTTCTGCTTAAAGGAGAATTCCGGTTTTTAACACTTTTAGCCCATTTTCTGTAGTGTCCAGGATGAAATCGAATGATCGACACCAAAATGTTGACGATTGGTCCTGTCTCTGCTATTTGGCTCATGCAGAATCCCCCCCTGGCTGCTTCAGAATGGCTTCCATAGTGCATGTCCGATAATGTCCTTAAAACAACCTTAAACGTTCTTTTCTTAAAATATGCTACTCACCGTGTCGTCAGCGCTGTTCAATGACGTTCCAAAAAAAGTTTCGTAAAGAAAAAACGTTCCTGTAGTGTTTTATTTAGCATTTTGTAAATCCCATTGAGTTCTGTTGGAATAGTCAATATCCCTTCGCCACCGGAAACGGAAATGGGGCCTGTTTACACAGTTGTAGTCTTTTCGCAAGGCCCAAGTGTTTCTGCTTCACTCTGTGTACTCCGACGTCGAGGTGCTAACATCTCTGTTAAACACTTTAAAAAACTCTGAAAATGGAATACGAAAGGTGGATTCTTGAGGAGGACATATTGGACTTTGAGTTTGACGGTAGAGGATACCGTCGCCAACTAGTGGTCTGGAGTGTGCAACGCTTCAGATTCGAACGGGAAGCGGAAGTTTATAAGCGGTTGTGATGTATCGGAAAAAATAGTTCTGGGATTTACAAAATGCTAAATAAAACAAGACAGGAACGGTTTTTCTTCACAAAACTTTTTTTGGAACGTCATTGAACAGCGCTGACGACCCGGTGAGTAGCATATTTTAAGAAAAGAACGTTTAAGGTTGTTTTAAGGACATTATCGGACATGCACTATGGAAGCCATTCTGAAGCAGCCAGGGGGGGATTCTGCATGAGCCAAATAGCAGAGACAGGAGCAATTGTCAACATTTTGGTGTCGATCATTCGATTTCATCCTGGACACTACAGAAAATGGGCTAAAAGTGTTAAAAACCGGAATTTTCCTTTAAGTTGTCTTCCTTCATTTGTTTTCCATTGTTAAGATGTTTTCTTTGATTTAGTAATATATATTTTTATTTTTTAGCTTTTTTTAGCATTTATTATTCTGATATCTGTTGACCAATTTTCTGTAAACATGTTTGATACCGTCTTCCTTTACTTCCTTTAAGCCATTTCCATGATATTTCTAATACCGTAAATCCTCTAATATAGGCCGGGGCCTTTGTTTCGCTCAGGTGCATCTTGGTCCAGGCCATTATTGGAAGGAGGCCAGAATTAGAGGCAGGCCTCTATTTCTATTTGATCAAACAAACTACCAGTGGAATGAATAAAAACGAGATTTTGTGTCTCTTTGAACCTATAAAATACTAGGTTCATTTATTGACAAAGTACAGTTACCGTAACGGTATACAAACATCTTCCAGCAGCTGTCATTTTTCTGCACGGCAATACGAAAAAGAAAGAAAAAAAAGACACAGAATGGAATCTTGGCCAAACTAACTTGCGAACCAAAGTTTTGAAAAAAATTAACGGAAACTGTTCTGCCATCACAGCGATTTGAGGCAGGCTAAGTGGAAGTAGGCAGGCAACCAGTATCATATATTTCAAGGGAAAATTCAGAAAAACGAAGGCCAACGAAATTCTGTCATTTTAACCCTGCCTGGTTACCAGAAGACCTACCGCTAATCACATCTGTCTTTCTGATCAGGACGATTGTGTGGCTGGTTATACTCCTGCAGCAGTGTGTCGCAGTGAGCTTGACGCAGACATTTTTGTTTACGCTTGATATCGAAGCGTGGTCTGCGCTACACGCTGTGGGTCTAGATACGGCCGGGGGGATGAGGAAGTGGGGGCGAGTAGTCCGACAACGGAGGGACAGGAGGGCCAAAAAGAGCTAGCTCATCAAACTTCACGAGTTGTTTTCTGCAATTTCGCTCATAAAAATCAAACGAGCCGGCCTCCTGTCTGCGGCACTGTCTGCGCTAATGATGGGACATCCCATGCTAACAGCTTGGATTCGTTAGCAAACACTGCCCCCCTGTGGTACTTGTATGTTACTACCACAACTCTTTGAGGACTGCCCAGGAACATTGTTGGTTGTATACGAGTGCGGCCATTATTTATGTCCGCCGACACCCAGATTGGGCGTTATCAGTGACCCGGCTGCTAATGGAATACAGGCCAATATTAGAGGATTTACGGTAATCTACTTCTTTACTCATACAAAATGTATTATTAATTCAATTCAATTCAATTCAGTTTATTTATATAGCGCCAAATTCACAACACATGTCATCTCAAGGCACTTTACAGTTCAACCAGATCAAATTGATACAAAGTTTTCTATCTAAGGAAAACCAGTTGATTGCATTGACTCATTGACTCAAATACAATCCCCCACACTAAGCATGCTTGTAGCGACAGTGGAGAGGAAAAACTCCCTTTTAACAGGAAGAAACCTCCAGCAGAACCAGGCTCAGTGTGAGCGGCCATCTGCCGAGGCCGACTGGGATTCAAGGAGACAGAAGCAGAGATACAAAAAGCAGCTGTAAAAGGCGGCCCCGTCCAGGAAACACACAGCCAGGCAGACGAGCTCCAAGGCAGCTCCCATGCCAGAGGACGAAGAAAGCACATCCACTCAGTCACGGTCAGAGAAACAGGACCACACTGGAAAACAGGCCGATCTCCAACATCTATAAACAAGGGTGTTGATAGAAGCAGCACAGCTGATGTTTCTTTCCAGGATGACGTCACAGCCAAACTGATTGTTAGGCTGATTATTATCAGTCCTTTCCTTCAAACCTGCTATAGACAGCATCAGCTATTAGGTAGCTTTAAAGTCATAACACAAGCTTAGCTCTAAGCTGTGTTCACTGCAAAAACAATCTAAAAATAAGTCAACATTTCTTAGATTAGGTGTATTTACTCTTCCTTTGAGTAGGTAAATTAGATGATTTGCCAGTGGAATGAGTATTTTTACTCTTAAAATAAGATAATCAGATAAAATGCACTTGAAATAAGACAATGCAATTGTCTTTTCTTATTTTAAAAGTAAATTGTCTTGTTCCATTGGTAAAGTGTCTCTTTAACCTCCTCAATTCAAGAACAAATGCACTTATGTTAAGCAAAAAAGACTTATTTATTTTCTAGTTTTTGCAGTGTAACAGCATAGCTATAGTGCGATGGGTGCATCAGTCGACTTACAGCTGCATGACCAGGTAGTAATGTGTCCGGCTTTCATAGAAGTCCTCCAACCGTACAACATTCTCATGCTTTATCCTGAAAAAGTCAGAGAGATTCATCCTTTATTTTCCCATTATATATACATATATATATATATATATATCATTTATTTTAGCAGAACAGTAGAAACTAAAATCTGATGTAAAAATGTGATGGATTGCACCTCCTCAGTACGTTGATTTCATTTTCCAGATTGCTGTTGGCGAGGTGCTTCTTCTTCAGGCATTTCAGGGCATAAAGCTGACCGCTCTTCTTTTCTCTCACCATGTAAACCTCGGAGAATGACCCCCTGCACAAAAACAGCACAGAGAAGCCATATAAAGAGCATCTTTGTGAGTGTATTATGTCATAGTATTATGTAGTATGCAATTCAATTCAGTTTATTTCTAAATCGTCACTTCACAACCCCTTCTTTTTTACCATTGAGCCAATGTGACGAGTAGATTTCTCTCTGTGAGATCAATAAAGTCAATTTATTAATCAATCAATGTCATCTCAGTAATCTTTATAGAGACAATATAACCAAATCACCCAGTCAGAATGATTCAAAGTATTCTATCTAAAGCCAGGCGTAAACTGTGCAATTTTCTGGGTGATTTTCCAGTCGTGCAAGAATTTTATCGATCGGGCTGACTTTCAGCCTGATCTAGTGTGGTGTAATGTACAGGGGGTTACAAGGGGCGATCAGCCTCTCACGACCACCTCCCGTTTAGGAATGGTGAGGTCGGGAGTAGATCAAACATGTTTGATTTTCTCCTGACCATCGTGGGCAAATCGCTCAGCACACAACCAAGGATTTTTCTTTTCCTTCTTCCTCTTAGAGGAAAATCCAGAAGCATGGCAGGATGTGCCATGAGTGAAATGGAGTTCTTTCTGTAAAATCGGCAGACCGTAGTAGCCACGTTTGCTCAGCCATGTCTTTGTCCCGTCCCTGTGAAGGTCGGCCCGATAAAAAATATTCTCGCACGACTGGAAAATCACCCCGAAAATCACACAGTGTATGCCCGGCTTTAGGTAAATAAAGAACATTGATTTAAATCATGATAGCACCAATTAAAGGGGGAAAAATCCCATTGTTTAAGCATGCATTAGCTGTTATTGTTCACACAGCAGAGCACCACACCCAGGCCTGATAACTGCCACTCTGGTAGGTTAAAAGCTGCTTAATGTATGTAGATAAATAGAAGCTTTCCACAAAAGCTCAACATTTAATTTCTAGACAAAATTCAAAAACAAACAAAATCAATGACACAAAAAACTTGGATCATAGGATGGAAAACTGCAGAGTCCTGGCTGCACCTTTAAATGGAGCAACGATAGAACAGTGACAGACCTAAAGGCTGCAAGCCTTCATTTCATTCAGATTATCTTTGAATGAAGGACAAATGCTTTGGATGACATGAGACATCTGGATGTGACCAAAAACATAAATTCAACATCTGTGTGAGAGAGCCTTTATTTAAAAAAAAAGAAAAGGTTGTGCTCCTGCTGAGTGGGCCTTTAAAGATTACAGAAATATAATAATTATCTACAAGGTCCTTCTCTTTGGATCTTTTAACACTAGAAATCCCACCAGCCGTCATTTTGATGGTTGTGAGATTTTAAAGGGAAAGACATATATTTAAAATTAATCTTATGTTGCTCATGTTAACTGACTATATCTGTTTCTATATTTCCTTCTTTTTCACGTAGTTTCTAACTAAAATTAAAACGTAAAAATTAAAAATGGTTAATTCTACCTCGTCGTCTAATCGAGCCATTTTGATGGCTCTATTAGTTGGATTGTAAATTCTTCCTGCGGATGATTGATGTTCGGTACCGTTGCCTAGCAACCAACATTCTACCTAGAACTCTTTGGCTAATATTGAAAAATGGCTTTTAGAAGAAACCCAACAGTGAAACAGGCTTTAGAAATGCTTCAAAATATTGATGATAGCGATTCGGGTGCAGAAGGAGAGACCGATAAGGAGGACTGGGTAGGAAGAGGCTCAGATTCTGACAGCGAGTCCGAGGATGATCACCCATCCCCGGGAAAACGCAGACGTATCAGACAATAGTGAAAGTTTGTTGAAGCACTGCCCACACCTCAGCCGGTCCACATCCACCCAAAAGCCAAGCCAGAGCCCGTAGTCTACTATAACCTCACACAGGTCAGGGTGGATGTGTTGGATCAGATGACGGACATCCCAAGTTCCACAAACTCATTTCAGGGAGATGCTTATCACCACCACCACTAACTATTATATATTAAGTCAAAAATATCTAAAATTCCTAAATTATAAATGTATATTGACCTCATAAGAAATGGATTTTTTATTGAACCTAATTAAAAAGAAATGTCCCTTTATGCAGCTATATTAATATATTTGAATCTCTTGCCCTGTTTTTTATTTCATGCTTTTCTGGGCCCCCATGAAAACACGCTGGCCCCCTCCTGGCCCCCTGGTACATTTGGTCTAGATCCGCCACTGTTCCTCCCCTTCACTAGACCTGGATATACTTTATTATATTCTGCTGTAAAATTAGTCCTATATTTTGTTCTTTTACTGGAGGATTGAACCTCTGCCGTTTCCCAGGATGCACTGCTTTGAGTGGTAACTAGGTGACTGTCAGAGAGGAACCAGAGAAACTAATCAGACTGATCCAATCAGCTCTCTGATCAACCAGTCGCCTGGAACGCTGGTTGATCAGAGCATCACTTTGGACAGATGCTGCACAGGATTCACCAGCAACTTCCTCCTCACACCCCGCTCTCTATTGCTGTCTGTGCAATCTCAGTAGTTCTAATCTGCACATGATGCATGCATTATTGTACTGCCGCTCGCTCTCACTCGCATTAAAAAACTCCACCTCCCATAGTCTAAAATCCAGGATAATTTATCGACTCGCGGGCATCCGTGAAAAACTATCGATATCAGGGAGACTCCCAGAACTTCCAGGATGCTTGGGATGTCTGAGACGATTAGAAAGGATTCTGTAAAAGCTCAGACCTGAAGGCGGCCTGTGGCTGTAATTTATGATCTCCTGGAAATATCAGCTATAAACGCGTTGGTTTTGTTCAGGAGCTGTTTGAATGTATTTTTTTTTCACGCAGAGATTTTATGCTTGAACTGCTTAAACAGTTGCAGGTTTCCAGCCCCTCCGCCGCAGTAAAGCAGCGTTGGAGAGGCACAGAAAGCAGCGGCAGGAGCTGCAGCACTGCACAAATAAAGGCTCATATTGTGTTTGTCATAAATGTGAAAAGGTGGTCTGTGGGGAAACCATCAATTTATGTAAATAAAATTGTAATTTCAAACTTTTACCCTGTGTAGTAAAACAGTTTTACTCTACGGATTTATTTTTAACACATATTTAGAACACAAATAATAATAGCAAACAATACAGCCTTTGACAAATATATTTTAGATTTGTTTTAAGGTTTACATTTCCACAATGGGTTTCTACCGCAACTAGAACCATCTCAGGTGATGACATCAGCACTACTCATGCGTTTCATTGGGAAAAATGTCAGCCGGCCGGTGGGAGTTCTAGTAGGATCAGAATTCTGGGAGTCCAAGTGTTAAAAATCTGCACACAAGTAGTCTTAAAATGAAGCACAACGGAAGCTGAAAGGATGTAATGTAGATTGAGTCACATTTGCATAAACAGCCGACTGATTGTGAACACCTCACTTCACATTCAGCAAGCAGTCAGGCTACTAATCCTCTAATGAAGTCGTGCTAAGATGTTCCAGTTCAGTTCCTCTGACGTCAGCTTTCAGACACGCGCTTACAGCGCACATTTACCGCCAGGTGAGAAATGTGCATTAGAGCAGCTTTCTACAGCGGGACTGAGCTCATCGCTAAGTCTGTCAACTGTGTGCTGCAGGTGACTGTCATGGCGAACTAAGCAGCGTGGGTTCTCTATACAGGATAATGATGTATAAATAACAAGACAAGGCAGCTGTTTACAGTGGACTGGATTATCTGTCACACTGCAAGAAGGCCTCCTGCTCCATTTCTACTTTTGAGACATGCTGTGTGTTCTTGTGTCTTCCACCTTGATGGGCAGATGATTAAAGCAAAAAAATATAGATATATATAAATATATATATACGCCTGTGTGTATTTCAAGCCATGCCAGAGGGGTGTGGGGGAATGGGATCAGAGAGTGCATGAATGATTGAAGACTAAATTTGACTTTTGAAAATCCAATACCAAAAACAGTGCATCTATGCATCTATATCTACCATTTGCTTTCAATTCTATTCTATTCAGTTTATTTCTATAGCTCCAATTCACATCATGTCATCTCAGGTCACTTTCCAGTTCACCAGATCATCCAGTCAGATTGGTTCAAAGTTTTCTATCTAAGGAAAAGCAGCTGATTGCATCGACTCATTGACTCTTCAGCAATCCCTCACACTAAGCATGCTTGTAGCGACAGTGGAGAGGAAAAACTCCCTTTGAACAGGAAGAAACCTCCAGCAGAACCAGGCTCAGTGTGAGCGGCCATCTGCTGAGGCCCACTGGGGTTCAAGGAGACAGAAGCAGAGACACAAAGAGCGGCTGTAAAAGGCGGCCCCGTCCAGTTTACTTGCATGTACCACATTTCTTTTGATATCCAGTTTTGCTGCTAAACCTTTTGTTTCGGCGAGGAAAGCACACACCCTTATTTTAACTCGCATGCACGGTCAGTTATTGACCCTGGTACATCAGCTGTTGCCGTAGCTCCCGGCAAACGGGTAGTGTGCTGTAGTCTAGCTGGATGACCAGGGTCTAAAGTCTGGTTTATGCTCAGAAACCAGGTAGTCTGCATGTGTGTCGCAGTTATACTTTAATCCCTGCCTCCTGTATTGCTGGTGTTGTTCCTGGCCAGACTGTTAGGGAGTTGGTCTCCAGAGAAGTTTAAGCCACTGCCTTGGGGGAGCATCTTCCATTCCCCATAACCTGACATCAGGATGTTCTTAAAGTGTGGGACAATGTTTCTTGCAGGAGTCGGGGTGGCTTCATGCATATGGAGGTAGATTGGTCTCAATTTTCACAAATACACATATGTGATTCATAAATGCACAGGACAAGATCCACACATACAAAGGACATGATTTTCTGAATGGTTGCAGACCATCCCATGTTTTAAAAGAATGCATTTCTGTATCGAGGCACATCGGGGCAGTCTGAAACATCCACACACAAATGCAGGGAAGTTTAAAGACCATTAATACGTTGTGATTTTATTTATATGTTAGTGTTTATGGACCAGAAATGCTTTGGTGAATCTTGTTCTGTGCATCTGTGGATCTTGTTCTTTGTGTTTGTGGATTGTGTTGTGCTTGTGCGCATTTATGAATCACATATGTGTATTTGTGAAAATTAAAGGAATAGTACACCCAAAACATGATTAGCCTTCATTTTCTACTCACCAGCTTCCGTAGCGTCGTGAGCGCGCATGTGCGCGCTTTCAGGAAATCCTATACACTACTGTTTATGCTCTAAAAACATTCTAAATGACTTCGTTTCGAGTAAATTCTGGACGCTACCCACTCAGGACACTTGGAATACATTGGACGAGCAGTATGGAGGAATATTGACACGTTTTTTGTGGACTTTTATGGACCTTTCTGTCTCGGGCGCCATAGACCTCCATTATTTGAATGTCAGCAGACAGCAAGAAGCCTCCCAGATCTCCAGATGCATTTGAGATATCAAAAAAGTACTCCAGAGTGTTGTTCAGCATGGGGGTGAGTAGAAAATGAAGGCTAATCATGTTTTGGGTGTACCATTCCTTTAAGGGGATCTATGTCTATACATGCCCCACCCCTCCCCTATGTTCAGCTCCATCTTGCATCTCAATTTTAAAACGCTACACAGATCTGATTGTTCCTGATGTTCCTAACAGAGCACTTCGCTCTCAATCTGCAGGTTTACTAGTGGTTCCTAGAATTTCTAAAAGTAGAATGGGAGGCAGATCTTTTAGTTCTCAGGCTCCTCTCCTGTGGAACCAACTACCAGTTTTAGTCCGTGAGGCAGACACCCTGTCTACTTTTAAGGCTAGGCTTAAAACTTTCCTTTTTGATAAAGCTTCTAGTTAGAGTGGCTCAGGTTATCCTGAGCTACAGTTAGCACAGAAAGTATTCAGACCCCTTTGGATTTTTCACGCTTTGTTTCATTGCAGCCATTTACTGAAATCAAAAGAGTTAATTTAATCAGATTTTATATCTGACCTGGCAGCCATGGGGGTTGATCTCAACCCCCATCGCTATGCAGGGGAAGGCTTCTTTGTTTGGTCGGTTTAATATTTTCAATCACTGTGCAAGGTTTTCCTAGTTTGGACAAGAAATTATTGTTTCTACCGTATTTTCACGACCATAAGGCGCATCGTACTAAAAGGCGCACTCTCAGTTATGTGTGCCATTTCTGTATTTAACACACACATAAGGCGCACCGGACTATAGGGCGCATTTTTTATATACAGGTACATGTCCTCTACTACCTTTAAATAGCTCTACTGCGTATTTTAAAAATACAGCGGGGGCAAAACTGAGTATGACTGTGCTTTATTCATGTATTTATTACAAAGTATTAATCAAACCTGCGAGCTGGCCGTGAGACAGACACATCGCAGATGACACAGCGCTGTGATCACTCCTAAATTAACTTAAAATCCTGAAACCTGCCGACGGAATATGTTCGCTTTTATTACCGGTATCCTGGTGCCTGCACTGTAAATTATTTAGATGAAAAACACCTGCCAGCCGCCGCGGTGAGGCTGCTGTTGAAGGGATTTCTCCTGTCGGCGCACCGCTGGTATGTGGGGGTCTGAGCGCCTCCGACAGAAATAGATAATCTGGATGAACTGACTGCAATTATTAAGTTTTCAGGTGGCCTTTCTCACTTAAAAACATATTAAAACTACTTTATTCCCACTGATCACAGCAAATATAGCTGCAAGATTTAGATTATTTAGATGAAAAAACACCTGCCAGCCGCCGCGGTGAAGAGGAGGAGACCCGCCCAGAGGCTGCTGTTGAATTAAGTTTTTAGGTAGAAAAATACAGCGGGAGCAAAACTGAGTATGATTGTGCTTTATTCATGTATTTATTACAAAGTATTAATCAAACCCATCAAAGTCATCATCCTCTGTTTCTGAATTAAACAGCTGCGCTAAATCAGACATGCCAATTTCCCCTTCTGAGCTGTCAGTCACTTTCCGTGCAGCGCGGCTCCTCAGAAATAATGCCAGCTTTTGCGAAAGCTTGAACAACAGAGCCAGCAGACACGTTAGTCCAAGCATCAACAATCCATCCGCTAACGGTGGCGTAATCTGCCCGGCGCTGCCTTCCACTTATCCTGAAACTGTGGTCTCCGTCTGTCATCCATCGCTCCCACGCCGCTCGCAGCCTTACTGTGAACGGCCGCTTCACACCGATGTCGAGCGGTTGAAGCTCCTTTGTCAGACCTCCCGGGATAACGGCGATCACAGCGTTCATTTGATTCACCTTTTTTTCCACATCGGCTGTGAGATGGGCACGCAGCGATGGTGATGCGTGGAAAAAACCACCTGGTCTCCTCACATACACCTGCCTTTCATCATCTCCTCATCCATCCAGCCCGTTTCATTTGCGTTAATATCATATGTCATCAGAGCGCTGTGTCTGTCTCGCTGTCAGCTCCCAGATCAGCTTCTCTGATTGGTTGATGCGGCGCGTCCAGCAGCAAAACTTCAATTTTTCCATCTCGAGCAGCAGCAGCGCGTTGGCGGTGCGTCAGATGCTTAAACGCTCCCGACGTGCTGCACCTGCAGCTCAAAACGCGCTGCAGGACCTTTTGCTGCACCTATACGCGCGTCAACCATTGACTTTGCATGTAAACTCGCTGCTTCTGCTGCACCTGCTGGGTCCGGTTCACACCGATGTCGAGCGGTTGAACAGCGAGCACAGCGTTAATTTGTTTCCCCATGTTTTTCACATCAGCTGTGAGATGGGCACACATGGAGTTACATATTAACAGCGATGGTGATGAGTGAAAAAAAAACACCTGGTCTCCTTACATTCAGCCACTCTTTCATCATCTCCTCAATGAGGTGGTCTCAAAAGTCGCAGTTACAACACACATAAGGCGCACCGCACCAAAGGGCGCACCGCACATTTTGAGGGGAAAAAAGACGTTTAAGTGCGCCTTATAGTCGTGAAAATACGGTAATCTAATCTGCTGAGTACTTACGATCCCATTTTTCCTTTGAAATCAAACACATCCTTGATGTTGTTGACATTTTTCTTCCAGCTGCAGATGATCGCTTTTCGCCCCATCTTGGCTCTGACGTTGCCGTAGACTCCTGTAACCAAAAATATTCTTAAAAAACATCTAGAAAACCTTCTGTTAAATGTTAGGATATCAAAAATACCTTTTTCTACTGACAATGTGACCATTAACACAGTCAGCAACTAATATAAACACTGAAATTTTGCATTTAATTATATTTGTTTTGAAAGTTGGAGCTAAAAATCCATCTATTTATTAAGATCTGAGGACAGAGGAGGACAAATGGAACATATTACAAAATGTCTTTTGTAGAGATTTTAGACAAATAAAACAGTTATTCTAAAATGTAAAAGCAGTGTAGCTTAATATGGCTAACTGACCGAGCTAAAAGAGGCTGACCTGTTATCTACTTTTCAGTTCTGTTATCGATCAGTTAAACTTCATCGGCCATTAGACACGCTAACGCTACACATGCCCCCGACTCGGCACACGGACGCTGCGTGATGTTATGATCGCTGTCTGGGCAACCACAGTGTTTTACATCATGTGGCATCTTTCAGCCAATCACGTAGGGTAACGTCACTGGCATGAAGCAGGACCCCAGCAGACCTGGTACCTACGGCTGCTCAGTTATCAGAGGAAAAAGGGAAATGGCGCCAAACAGTGGTGGATATTGGAAGTTCAGTTTAATATAATCCAAGTATGTGAATAGTTCCGTCTGAAATGAATGAAAACTGTGGTTTTAAATGGTTATGATATGTGGCGGGTAATGTTTACTTTATTGAAAGGTTTTATCTGTCCCTATGTAAATGGGTTTGACTGACATTTAGACTCAGATTCCAACATCTCTGCAGTGTGAGGACTATAAATCTGATATCTGAGACGACGGTACTGCTGCTGAAACTCCTCAGAAATGTTATTAGTACCCAGATCGGTCATGAGAAGTGCAGTATCTTGTGTGTGAACTATCACGGTTGCTAGGTGACAGAGCATATTGTAGGTGAAAGCCGGAGAAGGCTTTTTGAATCCACAACCAAAACTCTTCCTAACTCCTTATTTTCACAGCCCTCCAAGGACCCAGTCCAGGTAGACCGCGTCCTTGGAGGATGCAGCCTCTGGACTCGAACAGAACGCTGATGTTCCCCACATTAAGAGGACAAACCAAGGCAGAGGGACGTCCCAGTTTCCCTGCAGGAGCAGCCATAGCCTGTCACTTAAAACACCCGGTCCTCACTTCATCTGCAATAAGTTATTTCCAAAACCAACACTACTTTTGGTCCTGCTTCTTTAAGCACGACCAGAAGCACTATACTTAAACTGGATAAACTCATTCCAGTTTCATCCACAATAAGATCATCTTTGTTCACAGAAACAGTCATGTTGGGGTTGCCTGTTGTCTTTTCATTTGTATTTTAAGTACGTATTACTAACGTATTGTACTCATTTTAGCCCTTCTTCCCTTTTCCTAAGTGGTTACTCCACTCGTCAGGCCGCCATTGTAAATAAAAACTTGTTCTTAATGACCTCCCTGTAAAAATAAAGGTATGATAACCTGCTACCACAATCCCACCTCACCCAGACAGCAGACAATAGATGATTTTTTTTAAAAAGTCAAGCACTGGAAATCTTTAATATATCTAAGGTTGAAGATTTCAGGCCAGTTTTCAGTGGAATTATTGAAACCGTTTTAGAAGTCACCTACTTCCTGTTTATATAAGCGGCTTCAATCAGGTCAGCTCCTTTAAGTAAAGCTCATCTGTACCTTTTAGTTAGACCACATTCAGAAAGGGACAGGATTAGAGAGATAAATGGCTGGAGAACTAATCCTTCCATTCATTCCTGCAGCAGATTAACACCTAATGACCCCACACTTCTGCAATTTGTTCCTCCATAGGGTGCAAATTTACACCTCAAAATTTAAAATAATATCTTAAAATGATGCTGACCTTTAGTTCATGTTTAAAGTACATGTTATAACTGGAATTTTGTTAAAATATAGAAATATTTCCACAGTCTCCATATTGAAAAAGTGAAACATTTATTTTTTTCTTTTTTAAATCTACTTAATTTTATCTGGTTATTTAATTATTAATTAATTGTTTCATTTTAGCAGGGAAGGACATTAAACTAATGATTTTATAGGTTAGTTAGGGTTAATTAAGTAGATTCCAATTGTTTTGTGATGTATGTAAATATGCTTAAAAAATCAGTTTCTAAAACCTTAAACCATTTAAGATTGATTGGAATTTAAACGGAAAAAAGAAAAATAACAACGAAAAAACACGCAAAAAAATTTTAAAAACCCAGAATGCTAGAAATAAAGAGCTGTTTTTTTTATCCTTCTCACAAGTTTGAAGTTTTTTAGACGCGTTTAAAGACCAAAACAAACGGATATGAATCCTTCATCTTACCTGTGGAGCGTGACAGATTCGGTGAGGTGTCCACGCGCGTGTCCCCACGGAGCAACCCTACTGCGGCTCCTATTGAAGAGGGGAGGGGGCGGAGTCTTATTCATGCGCATCCCGCGGCCTGAAAACGTGATGGGAATCTGTTTTTGCGACTATGGAAGCCCGTTTCCGCCACTCTGTAAAAAAAAAAAAAAAAAAAAAACTATCTCAATATAATGAGATACTATCTCATTATATTGAGTTACTATCTCATTATAATGAGATAGTAACTCAATATAATGAGATAGTATCAATATAATGAGATACTATCTCATTATATTGAGTTACTATCTCATTATAATGAGATAGTATCTCATTATATTGAGATAGTTTTTTTTTATTTTTTACCAATTTTTTAAGTTAAAATTGAGTATTTTTGGTCAATAGCTCCCAGGTCATGTGACCTATTGACCCAAAATCAGTGTGAAATTGTTCTACTAGTCTCTGTAGATGGGGCACACTCATTTGATTTTCTTTTTTACTCTTTTTTTATTTTTTACCAATTTTTTTCGTTAAAATTGAGTATTTTCGGTCAATAGCTCCCAGGTCATGTGACCTATTGACCCAAAATCAGTGTGAAATTGTTCTACTAGTCTCTGTAGATGGGGCACACTCATTTGTTTTGCATTTTAACTCTTTTTTTATTTTTTACCACATATGGACACCCTTATGCTTGAACATAACAAAATAAAAAAAGAGTTAAAATGAAAAACAAATGAGTGTGCCCCATCTACAGAGACTAGTAGAACAATTTCACACTAATTTTGCATCAATAGGTCACATGACCTGGGAGCTATTGACCAAAAATACTCAATTTTAACTTAAAAAATTGGTAAAAAATAAAAAAAACTATCTCAATAATGAGATAGTAACTCAATATAATGAGATAGTATCTCAATATATTGAGTTACTATCTCATTATATTGAGTTACTATCTCATTATATTGAGATACTATCTCATTATATTGAGTTACTATCTCATTATATTGAGATAGTTTTTTTTTTTTTTTTTTTTTACAGAGTGGCGGAAACGGGCTTCCATATGCGACAGTGTAATGACAGTATAAAAAAAAAAGCTAAAAATAAAAACAAATGGTGTCCTGTAATTTGTACTTCATGCATCTCCTACGTTCAGTTTAATCCATTTGATAAAAAAAAAAATTATAATTGTGCAACTCATCTACAAAACATCAAAGTTTCAATGCACAAATATTTTTGCAGCAATAGTTCTGGACCATGTAGAGACTTTCAGTGTGGAATACACTGAACACAATTTACGTACCTGTAATTATCTTCCTTTCTTATCCAAAATTCTTGAGAAAGTAGTTGCCAAACAAGTTTGCGATCACTTCCACCATAATGAACTTTTTGAAGAGTTTCAGTCTGGCTTTAGAGCTCATCATAGCACTGAAACAGCTCTGGTGAAAGTCACTAATGATATTCTCATGGCCTCAGATAATGGACTTGTATCTGTGCTCGTCCTGTTGGATCTTAGTGCTGCATTTGATACAGTTGACCATAATATTCTTTTAGAAAGACTTGAATATTTTGTTGGAATTAAAGGAACAGCTCTAGACTGGTTTAAATCTTATCTATCTGATCGAATTCAGTTTGTTCATGTTAATGATAGATCTTCAACACGCTCAAAGGTTACCTGTGGAGTACCACAGGGATCAGTGCTAGGACCAATTCTCTTTACTTTATACATGCTCCCAATTGGTAGAGTTATTAGACAGCATGGGATTAATTTCCACTGTTATGCTGATGATACCCAGCTATATCTGTCTATAAATCCAGATGAAGCTAACCCATTACATAGATTACAGGCATGTCTTGAAGACATAAAAACCTGGATGACTCTTAACTTTCTGCTTCTGAATGCAGACAAAACAGAAGTTATAGTCTTTGGACCAGAGTCTCTGAAAAAGAAACTGATTAGCCAGTCACTTCATTTGGATGGGATTAAACTGATTTCAGATAATAAAGTAAAAAATCTTGGTGTTATTTTTGATCAGGACCTGTCATTTAAATCCCATATCAAAGAGGTTTCTAGAATTTCCTTCTTTCATCTGAGGAATATTGCAAAAATGAGGAATCTCCTGTCCAGGGGTGATGCTGAGAAACTAGTCCATGCATTTGTTACTTCAAGGCTGGACTATTGTAATTCTTTACTATCAGGAAGTCCACAAACTGTAGTTAAAAGCCTTCAGCTGATCCAAAATGCTGCAGCCAGAGTTCTGATGAAAATTAAAAAGAGAGATCATATCTCTCCTATCCTGGCTTCTCTTCATTGGCTTCCTGTTAAATCCAGAATAGAATTTAAAATCCTCCTTCTCACATATAAAGCCTTAAATGGCCAAGCTCCATCTTATATCAGAGATCTGATTGTTCCTTATGTTCCTAACAGAGCACTTCGCTCTCAATCTGCAGGTTTACTAGTGGTTCCTAGAATTTCTAAAAGTAGAATGGGAGGCAGATCTTTTAGTTATCAGGCTCCTCTCCTGTGGAACCAACTACCAGTTTTAGTCCGTGAGGCAGACACCCTGTCTACTTTTAAGGCTAGGCTTAAAACTTTCCTTTTTGATAAAGCTTATAGTTAGGGTGGCTCAGGTTATCCTGAGCTATCTCTATAGTTATGCTGCTATAGGCTTAGACTGCTGGAGGACATAGGGACCCCCATTTCATCATTCTGCTTCATTCTCTCTCTATTCTCCCACTCTGCAGAATCTGTTAGTTCAATCTCTAACCTTCTGCTCTCTCTGCTTTTCCTCAGAGTAGCTTTGCCTCGTCTGTTCCTGTTTGGCTGTGACGTCATCCTGGAAAGAAACATCAGCTGTGCTGCTTCCATCAACACCCTTGTTTATAGATGTTGGAGATCGGCCGGTTTTCCAGTGTGGTCCTGTTTCTCTGACCGTGACTGAGTGGATGTGCTCTCTTCGTCCTCTGGCATGGGAGCTGCCTTGGAGCTCGTCTGCCTGGCTGTGTGTTTCCTGGACGGGGCCGCCTTTTACAGCTGCTTTTTGTATCTCTGCTTCTGTCTCCTTGAACCCCAGTCGGCCTCGGCAGATAGCCGCTCACACTGAGCCTGGTTCTGCTGGAGGTTTCTTCCTGTTAAAAGGGAGTTTTTCCTCTCCACTGTCGCTACAAGCATGCTTAGTGTGGGGGATTGTATTTGAGTCAATGCAATCAACTGGTTTTCCTTAGATAGAAAACTTTGTATCAATTTGACTGTATGATCTGGTTGAACTGTAAAGTGCCTTGAGATGACATGTGTTGTGAATTTGGCGCTATAGAAATAAACTGAATTGAATTGAATTAATTAAAGTTTGAACAGGTAAAAAAATGTAAAAAAAAAAATGTTACAAAAATAATAATGTAATTCTCTCTGCAACTTCAAACTCACACGTGTAAAGCACAAATAGTTTTGATCAAAATGATACAGTATTAGCCTGCATTGTGTTGTTGACTCTGCAGCAATCCCTCACTCTGAGAATTCATGGAGACAGTGGAGAGGAAAAACTCAGTTTTAACAGGAAGAACTTCCAGCAATCAGAAACCACATCTTTTAAAGGGTTAAAAAAAAATTAAGAATTAAATAACACATCGTCTTCAGTCTCCCCCAACATTCCACCCGTTCCTTGTAGCGACAGTGGAGAGGAAAAACTCCCTGGAGCCTGGAACACCTGGAGGAGAAGAACACCCACGATGGATGCTGTTCCTGGACTTCAGTTCAGCTTTCAGCACCATCATCCAGTTATCTCCCTGATATTTTTGTTTATATCATACACTGTGTTCAGCATTTCGCCTTGAGATGCCTGTAATGCACAACATAAGGTAAATATAGCTAACAGGTTAGCATCTTTTAGCTTGGTCAGTTAGCCATATTAAGCTACACTACTTTTAACTTTGTGTCAACAACTACCGTCACTTTCTACAAGCAGAATAACTGTTTTATTTGTCTGAAATCTCAAGGAAAGTCATTTTAAGATGTCCCCTTTGTCCTCCACTGCCCTCAGATCTTATTAAAAGAATAAAAATAAGCGGAGACATGTTTTGTCACCTTGTTAATAGCAGAGCGCAGTCTTAGACTTAGACAGATTTATTTTGTCATTTTGTAAACACGAATGTGAACAAAAAGAAATTTCATTTAAAACAGCTCTAGACAATTTCATTTTTTTAATGCAGCCTTGAAAAACATTAATAAAATACATTAAAAATAGTAATATAAATATATGACTGTGTATTTACAGTTTAACATTATAATTTTTTTTTATAAATAAAATAACCCATTTTAAACAACATTCATCAGCCTAATGGAAGAGGGGAAGAAGCTGCTGCAGAACCTGCTGGTCCTGCATTGAATGCTGGGAAGCCTCTTCCCAGAGGGCAGCAGGGAGAACAGTCCATGGTGGGGGGGTGAGGGGTCATTGATGATGTCACAGGCTCGGGACACGCAGCGCTGGGATGAAATGTCTTTAATGGAGGGAAGAGGAGCCCCCATGATCCTCTCTGCTGTTCTCACCTTCTTCCAGGCTGAGGCGCTGCAGCCTCCACACCACACAGTGAGACAGCTGCTCAGAACGCTCTCTATGGTGCTTCTGGAGAAGGTGGGGAGGATGGGGGGGGGTGGCTCTCCTCATCCTCCGCAGGAAGTCCAAGCGCTTCTGGGCCCTTTTTACCAGTGAGGTGGTGTTTCCAGTCCAGGTGAGGGTGTCTGTGATGAATGTGGTGCTGCTGACCACCTCTACAGCTGAGCTGTTGATGAGCAGTGGAGCGTGGTTAGGCCGCTTCTTCCTGAAGTCCACCATGATCTCCTTGGTCTTCTCCACCTTCAGGATCAGGCTGTTATCTCTGCTCCACCAGCTGCTCCACCTCCTCTCTGTAGTCCAGGTCGTCGTCGTCTCTGATGAGGCCCACCACCGTGGTGTCGTCTGCAAACCTCACCGTGTGATCGGTGGTGAACCTGGGGACGCAGTCGTGTGTCATCAGGGTGAACGGCAGGGGGCTCAGGACGCAGCCCTGAGGGGAGGGGCTTA